TTGACATCTCCTTTTTCTAGAGGAGAAAATGAAGTGAGGAAGGCTGACATGTCACAGCTACTTTAACAGGAATATTGATCCTCAGTGTCAGAAGACACCAAATTCTCTGAAGGAGTGAAATACAGCATATAAATAAAATCCATGCCTTTACTTCTATTAAAGGATACAGAGGAAGCAAGAGATATTTAAAAATAAGCATGGAATTAATGGAATAATCAGAAGATCAATATATTGGAATTGAATGAGTTCAAATTCCAAGGCTGTTTTAATGCTTAAATTTATACCAGGATACTACAATGCGCTGTGGTGTCACACATGTCACACAGATACCAACACTGCTGTTTTGGCTAGTGACAACAGAATTTGTTGCTTATTCTAAAAAATTCTGCTCAAATCTGCCTTAGCCCAAGCAGGTATTACTTAAAACTCTCAAAAAAAAAAAAAAAAAAGATTTCAGATTTTGCACAGAGTGTGGAGTACACCAAAGCACATAAAACAATATCATGAAGTTTCTCAAAACACAGCAAACAGAGGAACATCCATCTTCCAGAACTCAACAGAAAATAAACACGAAACTGACTTGTTTCAGCTTACAAAATGTAAACAGTACTCTAGGAAAGGCACAATGAGAGAATAATTCAGGTAAGACGGAGTATCCCTCAGTCACTGCCAAGACTTGCCTAGGTCATTTTTTAAGCTGATTTCAGAAGGTGGCTCTGAGTCCATGGGAACATTGATCAAGGTGTAACACACGTTCTCTGCAGCAGTCATGGCTCTTGGTTACAGCAGTCCTCTCAAGGGAAGAATTATTTTCACACAAATGTCAGACAACCTAAAAACCAAGCAAACAAAACATCCCAAAGTTAAAAGATTTTATTAACAAACACAAAAACATAATTGTAACTGACTTAATGGCTTGAAGGGATTGCTGGATTTCTTGAGAAGCTGCATGCAGAAGCTTTCTTGCTTGGCTGTTACCCTAAAATATTCCTGTGAGCACCACAAAGATGAAGAGCATGACATTTTTCAGAGACAACAGAAAAAAACCAAAATCTTTCCAATATTCTGGGCACATTCAGGGATAACACAAGTGTACAGGGCACCTGACTGAAGCCAAATGAATGCAGCAGCTTCTCCCTCCTGAAGTCATTCCCTGATCCCAGCTGTATATCCCCACTACATTCCCTGCACTCCTGTGCCCCTCCAGGTGAATGACCCGAGCTGCAAAATCAGCTGAAAGACTCCACAGGAAAAAAAAGAAAAAACTAAAAGATAAAGTTCTGGACTCAATTAACAAGATGGATCAGTCTATGCAGGAAGCTTTGAAGATGAACACAAGGTCCAACAGAGCAGAAACCAAGGATGGGAGTACAGACCAAGTGATGGAGAGAGAAGCATTTTACCTGCCAGGGATCATCAGATCAGTTCAACTCTACTGTCTCCATTAGACACTAATGAGGAAACCAAGACTTTTTTATGGTGAAAAAGGACAAGAAGGCTACAGATCTATCAAAGCTGCTGTGTGCCTGGCAGTCCATGTAATGAAATCTGCTATTAAGCTCAATTCTCATTCTCATGTTTGTTTTTTCCTTGTGTAATAGATATCTAGGATCAAATCAACCCTTTTGTTGTATCAATCCTCATTCTCCTCTTTGTTTATTCATTATGTAATAGACATCTAGGATCAAATCAACCTTTTTATTCTATTTCTTAAGTAATGATAAATGCTCAAGCTTGAGCTTGCTTGGCTAATGCTGTGATACCACACTGACAAGCACAGCAAAAAAAAACCATTACTGTTTATTACATTAGCAGTTTTGTGCTTTCTACAGAAATTGTGTCAAAAATAAATCAGCTTTTATTGATATTAATTGTCTGGAAGTCTGAGACTCCCTTTTCTCATCAAATGGGCACCCAGAGCCCCTCACTCTGAACAGGGAGCAGGGAAGTTGTGCTGAGCTGGGCTGCTGTCTCTTTCTCCACACAAGAAAACAACTCACATCAATCAGCACCACGACAACCACCCCAAAAAATACTTGCAATACAAATTTTTAAGGAAACACTCCTGTTCCCATTATGAATTCTGTATTTTAAGGCCCAGATCCCTCAACCTTGTTGCTTACAAATATCTACATAAACCACCCATTCATGAAATGACTGGATGTGGCACTTAGTGCCATGCTCCAGTTGACAAAGGTGGTGATCAGTCAAAGGTTGGATTTGATGATCTCAGAGGGCTTTCCCAACTCTTTTCTTGCCTCAGCAGCAGCTTTTTGCTTACTTTTCCTACGCTGTTACCCAGAATTCCTGCCTCAAAGCCCTGCAGCCAGCACCTTCACCTACAAGAACAACTCACACAGACCATAAAGCAGATCCTTGTGAAAGCAGGGCAGGTATTCTTTACTCATACAAAGACCTCAGCTGCAGAATTTCCAAAATCACGGTGAATCATATCTCTGAAGTGTGATAAATGAGTGCACTTTGGGCTCTGAAAAGCAGCAATGAAATACAACTCTCCTAAAACACAGAGCTGGGAGATTTGGCAGGGAGAACAACCACCCAGTTTTCCTCCTTGCAAGGCACAAAGACTTGAAATCAGAGACATTGAGAGCCCACAGGGACACAGACACAGGTGCTGCTTTAACTCTCCAGCAGTAATATCTCTGTCCCCTGTGGGGAGTCACTGAAGGGTTGGGGTCGGAAGGGACTTTAAAGACCAATTCATTCCAACTCCTTACCACCAGACCAGGCTTCTCGGAGCCCCATCCAACCTGGCCTCGAACACTTCCAGGGATGAGCACCCACAACCAGACCTCGGCACGCAGGGGAATCCAAAGTTACAGAGTTTACAGAGCGCAGGAAGACAAAAGCCACGTCTGCTCGCCACCGACAAGCCCGGGGAGCCTTGGGAACGGGGGCACCAAATGAACCAAAACCTCGAGGATGCACCGTTTTACTGACGCGCAGCTATAATACAGAGTGTTCAAAATGTTCACTAAAAAATCCCGACAAATTTCCAGCCGGCTCAGGGCTATTTCTCCCTCCATGTCCCAGTTCCTACTTCCACTCCAAACCCGGGCATTTTAAGCTACGAGACAAAACTTCCCTCAACGCCCGGGTCCGCCTGCCATTCCCCCGAGCAAAGCCCGAGACCCGCAGCTCTCGGGGCGCCACAAGCCCTCCCACAGCCGCCCGCACCCCCGGGCCCTGCCGGGGGCCACCGGCAAGATGCCGCCGGGGCCCTGAGGCCTCGGGCCTCGCGGCGCCCAGCGGAGAAGCGGCGCCCGCTCCTTCCCCGCGGCCCCCCGGGGCCGCGGCGGGCCGGCCGTGCGGCTCCGTACCGGGCGGTGGGGTCGGGCCGGTCCCGGCGCGGAGCTGAGCCCGCGGCGCTGCCGCTCCGGCGATGGCTGACGTGGAGCCGCGCCCGCCCCGGCCACATCGCGCGTACGGCGGCCGCGGAGGGACACGCCTCCCGCCAGCGCGAAAGGGGCGGTGCCGCGGGAGGGGCGGCGCCTGCGACGTCACGGCCCCGCGCGTTGGGATGCGGGAAAAGAGCGGAAAATAGCGACCGAAACTAAGAGTGAAAACCCCACACGGATGGACGGCAACAAACAAAGAAAAGGCAATAAAAGGGGGGGGTAGGAGATGGTAAAGGGAAAAATAAACAAGAAATAAATGGGTGGGGAAAAAAAGCAACTGAGGGAAATTAGTAAGGAACTGGAAAATAGATTACGGGGAATTAATATAGGAGAGGGTACATAAATAAATAAGGGAAAAGCAAAGGGAGGGAAAATGCGGGGGAAAAAAGGGGAGAGAGAAAAACAATGGGGAGAGAAGCAAAGGGAGAGAAAAAAAACAATGGGATGTGGAAGCAAGGGGAAGGAAAAGGAGGAAAAAAACAATGGGAAAAATAAATGAAGGGGAAAACATAAGTAACAGTGAAAAAGTAATTAAGGGGGAAAATGAAAATGAGGAAGAGGGGGAAAATGAGTAAAGGGGGAAATAAATAGAAAAATAACAGGGGAAAACCAAAATAAAAATAAATTTAGGAAAAAGCAGGGTTTTTTTAGCGCTCATAAACCAAATATGCAGCCGTGACGCTGCCCTTTTGCTATTTTCATATCTGAACTATTTGTATGGATTCAAGACTGTCTTTAAAGCCTATGCAAGACAGCACCATGACTTAGTAATTTTTGTTTAATTAATAAATATTAATAAATTATTAATCTGCAAGTTCCAGGCCTGTTTTTTTTATTTAAGGTCAGTGAGCAGGCTATCAGGGCCTATGAGGGTCCACCCCAGGTTGTTCCTTGTAATTTTCAATGCAATCATTGGAGAGAATTATATTAGAATGATCCAACATAGAAAAGACTGAACTCATTCTTGCTTAAAATACAGCATCCCACCCAGGAAGCACCAATTCACTGGGCCTCCCTGCCAGATGACTCTGAGGAAGTCACTGTTAGTCCCAAATTTTGTGGCACTCAGCTTAAACCCAAAGAGCACCAGGTGCACACAAGCTGAAGGGACAAAGCCCTGCAGAACCTGCTGGTTCAGGAGCAATGCAGGGACTCCACAGCTCAGCTCAGGAGACCTCTAATGGGAACTTGTGGTGGGTTTTTGTTACTCCAATTCAGCCCCAGTGAGCTAAAAGCCCTGTTCTGGCCCAAGGCTGCTGATGGCTCTAAAGAAACACTGACATTCTAAAAGAGCTGGTGTTGAGTAAATCCCCCAAAAAACCTGACCACAATTGGTTGAGCTTCGTGCTTCTTCAGCCTCATGACCACACATGCCTTTTCAGCTGGGACAAGCTGAAATGCTGTTCCCTGTTTGCTCCATGAGTATTTTATGGTTTCATAGGCATTTTAAGATCCTCTCAGTTCTACATGGTAAGCAAACACTCTAAGAAATGGTCAAACACACAATGGCACCTTGGTATGACACTGCTATTTGTGAAGAGCTGTTTTTTCAGACAAAAAAAACCCAAACTCACAGCAGAGTCCGAGAAACTGATTTATTTCCACTTGTCCTTATGAGTTCAAGACAGTATCTTTTCTTTATAAAACAGTATCATGTACTATTTAGAAAATGATTACACCTTTCTTGTCCGAGCAGTTACACCCAGATGTCCTCCTGTCTGTCTTTTAAGGATAGGTAGGTCGCTTGGTTTCTTTATGAGCAATCCTCAGAATGTAGCGTCAGAAAACATGTATAGGTGAGGATAAAGTTACCAGCAAATGGATAAATGTTCCTGGATAATTATACATTAACAGAGGAACTCATCCACCAACTAGTGCTCCATCGGCTCCTCTGCCTTCTCCACGGTTTCTTCAACAGGCGGAACCGGCTTAGAGAGGGAAAAGAAATATTTCAGGAAGGCAGAAGACAACACTTGACAAATCAGCTTTATCCCCATTGGAGCACCACAAGTGGTAAATGTAGCTCGTGTCAGCCAACAGCTCACAAATTACTGCTATCCAAATTAAGCACAAGCAGGACACAGATGGTAATTAGGAGACTATGGAGGCGTCTTGCAAAGGGCGTGAGAAACATATGCAACATACACTTCTGCTGTAAAACAGTGAAAACTCGTACTTGATCAGAGATGAGGAAAGGAGATGACATTGGAACAGCCTGGCATAAATCTAGCATAAATTGATTTAATAAGTATCTGAGTTACCAGTAAAGATTATGCAGTGTGCATATAGTAATTACATATTGTAAAAATTGCGTTCCCAAAACTCTGCTACAGTAGTAGAGTTAAATTTATGTTAAACATAGATCATATCTGACTATTGTCTTTCAACTAAACCTATTTATTCATATCTGAACCACTCACCTTTCTCTGTGGTCTCTCCTCAAGACCTTCTAGGAATGGTGCTACATCATCATCATCATAGATGGTGAACTCCATGTCTTTGCCCACAATTCCAATTGAAACATTCTGTCAAGCAAAGGGTTGGAAGCAGTGAGAAGCATTTTCCTGCAATTAACTTTGGCTTTACAGCTTTCACTTACAAAAGCTATCGTATTTCAAAATCTAAGGCATTCAAGGGTTTCAATTTCTTTCATTTTGTTTTCTATTTAATAATACACACAATTTCTCAAAACCACCTATTTTCATCAAGCATTTTCCTGCAATTAACTTTGGCTTTACAGCTTTCACTTAAAAAAGCTATCGTATTTCAAAATCTTCTAAGCCATTCAAGGGTTTCAATTTCTTTAATTTTGTTTTCTATTTAATAACACACACAACTTCTCAAAACCACCTATTTTCATCATTTTGATTTTCAGTATTTTAAGACTTCTAAAAAACATGGTGAGCTAGGAATAACAAAACATGGAAAAAGGTGGATAAAAGGATATAATTAGAATTTTCTTCTTCAATAGTTCCTCAATTCATTGTCAAAAGTTTGTGCAGCTTTGTGATGCTGGATGCTCTGTAAACTGTTGGTGCATTACCTTCACTCACTGCCCAAGTGAATTACTGACTGTGCTCACAATGCAAAGTTGGGATTCTACAGCTGCAGGCAATGCATCTTAAACGCTGATCAAAGCTTAAGAGAGAGTGAAGCCACCAAGGAAACAATGTCTTATTTAGTGAAAGCATAGTTTTGTGAAGAAACTTTGTGAAGAAATCTGAGAAGAACACAGAACAGCAGATACACTGGTGACATGAAATAAAGATATTATCTACCAGTATTCAGCTTCAAAGCTTCAGTGCCAGCCATACTTCACAAGAATTTTGTCACAGTTACTTCCAAGTAACAATGGCAAAGGAAACCTAGTCCTTACCTTGGTGGTCAGATCCTGTTCAGCAGGAAGAGTCTCTCTCAGGGCTCGCAGTCCATGTTTAACTAGCTCATTTAGATTACCTTAAAATGGAATCAGAAAGACATTGACAAACTACATGGTATTACCTCTAGACACTCATTCCCCTTCTTCCTAATCCTAGCTGACAACTCCAAAATCAGCTTGGGTCAACTTGACTCCCAGACCTCCTCCTTTTTGAGCAGAGCTGGTTATAAAAGTTTTCCTTGAGAAACCAGCCTTCCCTTATATTTGAGGTCAAGTGCATCCATTTTAGACCCCTGCCTTGATTCAAGTTTTTTTCCTCCAAGCAGGTATTCAGTGGTTCCTCATCATCATCCCATACAAAAATAAATTTACCACTCAAAATGCAGCACCTAAATACTTGCCCTGACAAACTCACCCTGCTCTGCTATGGAAACACTTTCCCTGGGTTAAAAAGGGTAGAGGCTTTTAATGTTTTTCACAGCTTTTCTTTCCACTAGATGAAATAAACACCCACACGTTAAGACATGAAAATCTCAGCCACATTCTCTAAAATTTTGTCTTTGTGCAGATTTACAGTTATGCCAAACTTGGCTCACAATATTTATCTTCAGCTCATGCAATGCAAAAGGATGGAGTGGCAGCAGGAGATAAACTGCAGAATTGATGAACAGCAGTGGGTAGAGTTCCATTACTCACAGTCAGTAAACTCAGTCATGTGCCTCTCCAAGTAAGTTCGTGCTGACTGTGAACGAGCACCAATGGACATTGCTTTGCAGTCAAAATAGTTTGCAGAGGGACAAGTCTGGAAGATGTGAGGGCCCATATCCTACAAAGAGAGAAGAAAACCCCCACAGAATGTTAAACAAATATATAAATTCACACCACCTCTGCTGCTAGAGCACGAAATTTTCTAAAAGAATTTCACTTCATGGTACATGACACCTACATGTGTGCACAGAAATGTATTTTATATATATTTTATATTGCTGATCATATTACTGTTCTTATGCAATTCCTTCAACCCTGTTGTTTAAAAAACCACAACAACAATTAAAAAAAAAACCAGAAATTTCTTTTTTTCCACTTTGTTCATCTGCAGCTTTTAAATGGACAGGATGGCTGGCACAAAAAAGTGTTTCTTTCCCTGTTCTAAAAATTGCAATGTGCTTAAGTATGCTCCCTACTTCATGGCTTGCAGCAGGAATTTTACACGCATTCTGTCTTACCTACAAAAAAGTAAAAACTTGCCATAGACTAAACCATGCCATCCAATATTTCAGGCAATACCAAAATTTCCTCCAACCATCCTCATGTCAACAATCTTGAGGACAGAGATTCTCTGTGTGCTGCATTAAGCAAAATGTTGTTGCTAAACAAGTGAGAGAGAGGCCAGCGGTGATTTCCACATCCATTTTCTTACTGGAAGTATTTAAAATAATAATTTGCAAGCATCCAAAATCAATTGCAAAATATTTACATAAACAAATCTCATCTTTGCACCTTAAAATACTCAGTAAGCATAGGTAGGATTAGCTATTAATTAACACTTCTGAGTTGTTTTAGAGTAAGATACAGAAAATTCTTTCCTTCTGCAGAGAATTTTGACGAGTCTGCCTCTTCCATCTTTCCCTCTCAACATCAATTTGTTGCATTAAGTTTCCCTGAGCACATTTTCCTGCAGATCAGTGGCAGCCAGAGCAGCTTACTCACATCATAGCCTGCGATGAGCAGTCCTACTCCATAGGGCCTCCTGCCGTAGCGCTGAGTTGGAATCTGGGTTTCTTAAGAAAGCTAAGGAAACAATCTCAAAATTATATGATAATCACCCAAAAATTTTCCTAAACGAAGCAGAGATGGACCAAAATGCATCCTTATGGGATGTTCTCTGAAAGTATACACAAGCAATGTGAACAAAGAAGAATTGTCCAAAGAACTTTTTCAACTTTTAAGCTGTGATAGATGAAAGTCGTTTTATGAAGTGTATAAAAAAAGGATACTGCTTCCAATTAGTGACACTAGGCGAGAAACTGGAAGAGGTCTATCAAACACAAATCTAGAATCCAAACACTCTTGACGCATGAAATTGCTAGGGAGCAAAAATATACAAAAAAAAAAATCAAAATTCAAATCAGATCAAAGACACAATGAGGTTTTGTCTCAAGGCTTGTCTGTTAAGGTAAGCATTTTTGTTTCAACTCTCTTCATGAGAAAAAGGGTCAACGGTGATGAATTCATTTATTTCCATGATTTCATTTCTACATGACCTATCATTGTTATTGAGAAAGTTGACCCCAGGTTTGATAAAGTATAAACAGGGTATTTCAGCCATACAAATGCAAAGAAAGTAGAAGTTCACGCAGGCAACAGACGGGTCCTCTGGAGAAATGGCAAGGTTAAATGGTAACATTGCTTTGTGACACTGCAGCAATTAAACTTACTTCATAAATACTTCCCACCCCTTCTGATCAAAGTTGCTAAAAGCAAGCCCCCCAGAAGCCTACATAAACAGCACTGTATGTCTTTAATAACTTTCTCAAATGTGTGTACACAGAAGCAGCTGCCAGAGGAAAAGAAGTGATGGAGTTTCTCAGACTGCTTGGAAACCCTATTACACTGAGGAAACCAGACAGGACTGTTTTACTTGTAACAAAACCAAAGAGCAAAATTTTAGGCCAAACAAATGAGATTTCTGCCAACTAGTTAAAAACTTGCCAGAATTTCATGCTGAGGTCTTTGGCATAATATAACATTAAGCAGCAACTAAAGACTAATCCTTAGCAAAGCAGAAAATGTCATTTGCAATAGTCTGAATGAACTTTCCCTCATTATTGCAGCACTGTGTATGTCAACAAGCAGGATACTCACCACAAGAGTCTTGCATCGGCAGTAAGTCCAGCAATTGAGATACCAATATGGTTGTCAACGTACAGGATTTTTTTCTGATGAGCTGCCAGCTCAGACTGTGCTCTCTATGCATAAAAGGAGAAAGCTATGTAGCAAACCGAACAGTCTGCCAAGCACTGTGGAGAAATCTGCTAACATTTATAGCAAGAACTGAATATGTTCATGAAACAATAAAAAAAAATTAAATTTATAACTTGCAACAGAAGACAAGAAAAACCTTATTCCATTTCAGTTCTCTCAGAACAAAAGAAAGAACAGAACTCACTCCAGTCTTAGAAAAAGAAAGGAATATATTTACTGCTTAATAACAAATGGAAAGAAAACAAAAAAAAGAGGAACACATCTGTTAAAGGAAAAAAAAAATCTTCTATTCATTTCCTTCACCATTTTGTGAAGATCTGCCTTGCATAGGTACTGGAAGTATTTCAGTCCTCAAGCAAAGGGAACCTGCAATTGCATTTACATTTCACGTCTGAGTACAGACTGCGCAAAACTAATTTGCCAAACCAAAACTTTTCTACGAACATTACTGTCCCCACTGAGAGCAGAGTTCAGAAGTTACCTTGAGAGCCACCAGGACAGCGTGTGTTTTCGACTTCAGCCCCACAGTAGCTGAGCCTTGTTTCACCGCTTCCATGGCATATTCTATCTGATGAATTCGGCCCTGCAAAACAACGTGGAAGGTCGTCAGTCACTCTCTAGTTAATCCTCTGAATCAGTTTCCAATGGGGTTGCATTTTCAGACCTTTGACTCCCCACCCTAATGGGGACACCCACTCCAAGAGAGGTTAAATCAGCACGTGATTCAAAGACAGACAGAACTTCCAGCTGAAGCTGGATGCTTTAATCGGCTTTGCTGAAGAAATGAGTCTTATGCAATCATTGTCTCACCAGCCAGTCCCCAATAACTTCTGAACAAGTTATTGGCCAACTGCAGCCAAGTCTGAAACAGGACTAGAGGTCTCAAAGAAAATGAAGTCTGTACGAGCTCTGCAGAGGTGGCCAGGAGCTTTAATATCCATGTAGCAGAGGCACTGAGGGTTTTCCCATTTTCAGCACTCCAGCCCGTGTCAGACAGCCAACACAGGCACTCCTGTCCTGCAAGCATGGACACCATGGAGCTGCATCCCATCAGCTGGGAGGGAGTGGAACACAGTAGCTGTTATGGTGAATGTGCAAGGGATGATCTACAGGATACCACCTTCCCATAGATTGTTGGGGATTTCTGGCATAAGGTTTTTTATTTAAGTCTGTTAGAGAGACCCTAATGTCAAATTTCATCCCCTGTTGTAACTGGAATTTCAATAACACAGGATATTTCCTGCCCAAGAGCAGGACTGAATTGCTGTGACTTGTCCAGCATGAATTTTTCAGCTGTCAGGAACAATATGCAAGCCTGTAAAAATGCGAAACCACTTCAAGTTTTTAAATCTCCTATTTCCTTTTCTTTACTAACATATTTGAAAACATCTCCCAAAAAAAGTATGATTTGCTGCTGTATTAACAGTGCCAAAAACTATTATGGCATCACATCACTGCCTCACCTGCAAGAATGGATGGAGTATCAATTGCAGCACAGTAGCAATTTTAAATGTATTTTTTTTCAGAAAAAAACTAATACTATTAACATTTTCAAGGCAATTTAAGCAAAACATAGAAATCTGCGCTGTTGATATTTGGCAGTACCTGCTAAAAGTCTCAAGAGAATGTTATCGTTTTTAAAGTAACTTTTAAAGTAACAGATAAGCCAAAAAAATTTAAAGTTTGTGATACAGAACCTGCCAGGGAAACACAATCAGTAAGAAGGATTAAAACAACTCAAAGACACCTACACCTTCAAAGGCACCTACACCTATCATGGTATTGACTGAAAAAAAAGGGGAAATATTCAAGGTTGTCTTCATGGAGAATGGAAAGGATAGAACACTCTCTGTTGCATGGTATCTCACATAAAACAGTACTACATGATGAAGAATTTCAGCAGCAATATAAACCCACAAACTAACGATACACTAGCTTTATACTACTAAAATTTGCTACTTGCATTTTAAATAAATCTCTACTTTTGCTGAATATATAAACGAGTCTTTTTCCAAGGCTCCAGTTTTCTCTAAGTATCCTGTCTTAAAATAGCCACAGTGAGAGAAGAGGCAGTATTAAATACCTCAGCTGACAGTGTCTTTTAAAATTCCAGAATATTTACTTTCAACACAAGCTGTGTACGTTTCAGAACACACCGTGTATGTTTTCAGTAACAATATACAGTGTGAAACTGATTCAGAAGTAGTAACATTTCAAATTCAAATGCAAATCTCACTTGAACCTCCCAATTATAAAGAGTTTCTTTCCCATATTATCTAGTGGACAGAAGAGAAGTTAGGCAATGGCCAGCAATGGCCTAACTTTGGGGAGACTGAAATAGTTTCATCCTTTTTGTACCTTACTTACCAACTTACTGCAGCTCTGTGAAAGGACCATAGAGTCATGGAATGGTTTGGGCTGGAAGGGACCTTTACAAGATCATCTATTCCAACCACCCACAGATGACAGCATCTCTTTTGTACCTCACAGGTACACTTAGAAAGCAACTGCCTTAAGCACCTGGAGGGGACAAGGTGGAGGTAAGCAGCACTCAGGTTCACACAGCAGCAGACAGGGGTGTACTGAGGGCTCTCTGGACACCTACAGCCTACAAAGGGAGAAGGGAGAAGCCTGCAGGAAGCTTCAGGCACCTGAGCACAACCTTTGTGACTGTAATACCACTGCTGTGAGGTGGAGAAAATCCAAAAAGCAAGTTAAAACCCCAGTGACAAGTGTATAAAGGTTTTACCTGCGGGCTCCAAACCGTGACATCATTGTCATACTGGTTGCGAAACTGGAATGAACAAAATAAAACTCATTAGTATCCCTAATAAGCTAACACAGTGCTCCTGGAGAAAACCCTGCTTGTTTCCACAGAATCCCAGCACTACAGAATCCTAGAATCAGTAAGGTTGGAAAGACTTCTGATACCTCAAGTCCAATGTGTGACTGAACACCGCTCTGTTAACTAGACCATGGCACTGAGTGCCACATCCAGCCTCCCTAAACACCTCCAGGGATGGTGACTCCACCACCTCCCTGGGCAGCCCATTCCAATAACCACCCTTTCTGTGAACAGGTTCTTACTTTGTTAAATTCCTTTTGTCAAACTGTTAGGTGGAAGGGATCTCTAGAAATCATCCAGTCCAAGCCCCCTGCCAAGGCAGGGTCACAGTGACACAGGAACACATTCAGGTGGGACTGAATGTCTCCAGAGCGGGAGGCTCCGTGATTCTCCCTGGGCAGTGCTCTGCCACCCTCAGGGTAAAAAAGTTTTCCCTTATGTTGTGGTGGAACTTCTTTTGTTTCAGTTTATGGCCATTGCTCCTCATCCTGTGCCAGGGCACCACTGGAAAGTGTCTGGCACCGTGCTCTTAGCCTGCCTTTGAGATATTTGCATGCATTAATGAATCCCCTCTCAGCCTCTCTCCCAGACTGAACAGGCCCAGCTCCCGCAGTCTCCTCCCTACAGAGATGCTCCAGACCCCTGCGGAGATATCTACATGCATCCTCCCAGGGCCTCGGAACTCTTTGTCCCAGCACCGAAGCAGGGCCCGCTCCCCGCTCCCATTCGTTTTCACGCCGGCAGCCAGGCCCAGTCCCGCCCGCGGCCCCGCGTGGCCCGGGAACTGCTTACTCACGGGCCCGCTCCCCGCCGCCCGCTCTCCCGGCTCTCCCGTGCCGGCTGGGCAGGCCGGGCAGGCGGCGGGGGTCCCCTGTCCCGGGCCGAGTGCCCTGTCCCGCCCCGGCGCCCCTCACCATCGTCCTGCTTCCCGGCGGCGGCGGCGGCGGCTCCGGGCGGCGCGGGGCAGCGAGCGCTCCGGGATGGGAGCGGGCAGGCGGCGCCAGTCGCGCCCCGAGTCATCGATGGGCCGCGCCTGCGCTCTCCCTCTGAGGGGCAGGCGGCTCGCGAAACGCCGGTTTAAATTACCTAATTTGTTTTGTTATTTTTAGGCTTTCTGATGAATAAAGAAGTTTATTTGGTTCGGAAACGACTTCCTTTCCTCGCCGTTTTTGCGTGGGAACAGGAAGTATAAACACTTTATTAGGCGAGCTGAAGAGCTTCCAGGCCTCCCGGAGCTGGCAGTGAACGTTCCCGCAGCCTCGGCCCCAGCGCCGCTCCCCAAAAACTTCCTACGGCAACAAGGGACTCCCCAAAGCTCCGTTCAGCCCGCCCACGGGCCCAGAGCCACACGCAGACATTTCCTCTCCTTTCGGCAAAACCCCGCTAGTTTTGATAGAGGGCTGAGCCACGCCAAGGCTCCCCATTGTTCTCCATTTGTACGGCGAGGAATGCCGGCAGCCAGGATTTTAGCGATAAAAAGGCGGGATTGTAAAACTTCGTGGGGAATATTGGTAATAGCTGCGTAAATGAAGAACTTTTGGAAGCTGTATGAACTGCTGTAGGTTTATTAAATCACAACTGAAGTATTTTTCCGAGTAATCTGTCCCTCTTTATTAGATGGATAGAACAAGATGTAGCCAAACCCGAACTCAGCAGATGTGCAGCTATTAAACATTTATTCTGAAGGGAAGGGGTTGGGGTCAGCAGCAGGAAGGGGGGCAGGACACGGAGTTCCTGCTGCCGCAGGCTGCACAAGGGCTCGCTATTCCCAGGGCAGCAGCGCAAGAGGATGCTGGAGGCAGGAATAATCTCCAGAGCGGGGAAATGCTTACCGTGGGAGGAAGTCATTCACTTCCTTCGGGATGCTCCTTCTTGCCCTTTGGGCTCAGGACGAGACCTCTACAGGCAGGGCTAAAGCCAGAGGGTTGGAGGTGTATTTGTGATTTCACCTCAATGTGCTGGTGCTAAAGAGCACCCAGCCTATTCCTCATCAGAGTGTTTGAACTGAGGGTGTATGTGTCGATTCACAAGGTGAGAAAGGCAAAATCAACAAGGCAAAATCAAATAGCTCTTTTTCAGATAACAAAGGCATCACACAGAAGGGAAGTATCTTGCATATATTATGAATTTAATTGCAGAGCGAAAAAGCGAATGACGAGCAGCAATCAATACCTTACATTGAGATGTCACAATATAAAAGAGTACAGGACTGAAAAGTAACGCTAAAACTGTCCTCACATGTAAACGAGCTACTTACTGAAAAATCTAAGTTGGGAGAAAATATTGTTTTCTCCCTTTCAGTTTCACAGTTGGCGACCTGATGACCAGGATGACTTTGAAGCAATGAATACACAATTGATAGCTGTGTGAAAACAAGTTCAGTGCCCAGTAGTGTCCAAATTAAATGTAAGGAATGATTAGGAAGAAGAACAAAACATGAAGCATTGCTGTGCCCCTGTATAAATCCATACTGCATCTGACATCGTTGAACATTGGCCATGACTCGTTTCCCACCCTGAAATGATGTGATACTGGGAAAAGTAGAAAGAAGGATTCAAATTATGGAATAGCTTCATATAAAGGATGACAGTAAGGAGTAGAAGTCCTCAGTGTAAATAGCAGGAAAGGCTTTGAGCTCCTGCCAAATCACAGCTGGCACAGAGATGCTGAATAGATTCAAGGCTTCTCTCTGTCCTGCAGTGCTGGTATGGGGTGCCATTAAAAGCAGCAGGTTCAAGCCAAGCCAAGTGGGTACTTCTGGGTTTTGTCATACCTGTACTGTGGAAATCTCTGCACCTGAACACATCATTTGTGTTTTTGGTCATGTATTGAGAGATTCATATTGGAGATATTGGACAGATGCACAGACTAAACAACTGTCCAAGCCACCAATGCTGCTGCTGCAATGTTTCAGCTAAGTGCAGCAGTGAAAGCATACCTAACCTAAACCATGCATATACAGTCTCAAGAGAAACTAATGAGCCTGTTTTATTCTATGCTGTGTTTCCAGCAGAGTTATAAACAGCATCTGACATCTGAGCGATGACAGGCATTGCTCTGCAGAGATTAATGTACAGCAACTGAAAGGCAAGGCCATTATGCCTCTGCTTCTGCTGATTCACGAGAGGAAACAACATTCCTGCAAGTCCCTTTTTGGGATACCACTCACCATCAGCCCACATTAACCCCTGTGTGCTATGCTCCTGTAGTTAGATGGAGTATTTTGGCAAAAGATTGGCTCCTCTGAGGTCAGCGGTGACACTCTGGGAGCACTCCCAGGGGCTGCGTGTTGTGCTGCTTAGGCACAGCAGACTGCCAAAGCAGGAGGAAGAAAACTGCTGTGCCAGAGTAAGAGACAGACTGAATGAAGGCAGTGCTTCCATCCCCTTGGAGAAGGGGAAGGGTAGATCCCAGAGAGATCACAGAGCCACTCCTGTCAGATGGACAAGTGGTTGCCCACAAATAGCAGTGCTGTCATAATGCGCTCAGGACTGAGCATTTTGACTAAGTTATTTTGAGAACTGTCTTACTGCCTTGACAATGTGAACAGTCCATATTTGGATTTAATGCAGGTAAGAGATTTGCTTCATTAATAGATATATGGTGACCAGACTACTTAATTAATTAGAAGCCTTGGTGTATGGCATACGTAGTATTTGGTGACATTTTCATCAAGTAGGTTAAGGCTAAAAATAAAAATTTGACAGAGCTATGAATTTACATACTTGACTATAGAATAATTTAAAGACAATCTTAGGAGTTCTTACAAAGAAAAAAATCATTTTGTATTAATACTGTAAATAGGAAAAAAGAACTTTGGTATATAAATTACACCAGATTTCTATTCTTTTGCTGGCACATTAGTAGAGGTGCAGACATTTCAGTCTCTATGACAAACTTGCATTCATGTTGCCAAAGGCATTTTTTACCATTTTTAAACTATTGACCAATTTAAATCACTGGAATATTTTGTCATGAAAGATGTTAACTACACACATTTTAAAGTCCACTCCTTACTTTTTTTAATCCCTAGCTTTTGTGGACTGACGTCAGTCAACCCTTTTAGGACAGGCCTACAGGGCAACTAACCTTGCTTGATCATCAAAGCTGGCTAAGAAAGACCAGGCAATGCTGAAAGCAGGCTTAAATAATCCCTGTGGAAAGAGGGCTGCAGGAAAGAGTCTGGCTCTTTCTGTCCAGTTCTGGAACAAACAAGGGCACAAGGATCAGCACAGCAGAGCTGTTGTAGCATATCCTGGTCATGGAAATAGCTTTTATTTGTAGGTTCTTGTTTGAATAGACCAAATATATATTTAGAGATAAATTTAGATGGATATTATTGCTGGTTATTTCTTGGACCTGAAATTTATTTCTTCTTTATTTCTTTCCTCACTCCGAGAGAGGAAGAGTTTCTGTATAATAAGCTTTTATTGTACAAGAAAAATGTATTTTGAGCTGTAAATTGCTTGCTAGCCTAGAAGTTATGATTTAAACAGCATACATAGAATTGTCTGAGTCATCAAAATACAACTGAAGAATTATTATGAAATTTGTGGAGTATTATGAAAGATATTGTTGCAGATATGAGAAAATCTGCTAAGCTTTTCATTTCAATGAAAAAGAATGGCAGTTACTAAGTTTCTGTGGATAACAAATCCATTTCAGTGGGCATATAGCTGCATAAGCTCTTTCAAATATATTAACTGCTCTGTTGATTCATATTGTTGGAACTATTTTTGAGTATACCTGAATCAAAACCTCATCAAAAAGCATCATCAAACCTTCAGCAGTGGACATATAACATTTTGATACAGAATGATGAACAGATTCACGAATAAACACTGTCTCAGTTAGGTTCAAAATTTCTCTCTATGAAAGAATCATCACAGATAGGAAATAACAGGGTGGCACAGAAATGAAGCTGTGAGACCGCTAATGGATCCCATTTCCTTACCACCAACATTGTTGTCATATTAAATTAATGAGTAGACAAAGTATTACTTTCTTATTTATGCATTTATATGCCATAAATATTTTACAATGAGTGCTTATATGTAGATCACACAATGAAATGTTCAAAATATTTCTGCCGCATCTACTGGTGCCAAAAATTTCTGCTTGAAAAATGGAAAGACATTTACCTACAGAAACAAATTTTCTGGAGGATATTAAACTTAAAAAAAAAAAAAAAAAAAAAAGAAAATAAAAAAGAGAGAGAGAAAAGGCTCTAGGAATGACGTACTATCCATGGCAAAGCATTAAGGATTTATGTGACACTTCTCTTTACAGGCATTTTCAAGTTCTGTGGGAGAGATAAACGTTGTAATAGTTACTGTTTAGGCAATGGTTCTGGTATTTGTAGACCACATCTTTTTAAAAGTGACTCAGCCTATTCTTACTGTGGATTGAGTTTTTGATTAGGAAAGACATCAATAGAGAATTAATAAGCAGGAAAAATAGATGTTTGAGTAGGCTTTAGTCCTAAAAATTCTGCTGTCATCAGCAAGGTTTATTTTACTTTTTGCCAAGCTCCTAATTTTGCTACATGGATTTTAACAGCTTTGCTGTCATGCATATCCCAGTCTTCATAGAACAAATTTTGTTTGGCACTGTCATCCTTATTGCATGTATTCTTAAACTAACAACAATGCAAGCAGAAATTTAAGCCTGTCTTGACAAATGTGAGAGAGCTTCTGGCACTGCTGTGTCCATTGTCTGCGATAATTCTGACAGATCACGGAGCTCAGACACTGCATCACACATGCTTAAATAATGAAAAAATTCCATTGATGTAAGGATAATTCTAAATCCAGAGTATTTGGCACTACCCTTGGCTTCTATGCCTGGTCCCTGGAAGGATTCAGTGATGGGCCAAAAGGGCTTTAAATTAATTCCAGACCACCTTGATGTAAGCCTGCCTTGAATGCAGTGAGTATCTAAAAAGCTCTGCATTTGTTATTAACATATCAGCACAGAGTCACACATCTGCATGTCTGGTTTTAATTTTAAGAAGTATGTATCAAATAAATTTGTGACTACAGATGTCTCATTCACAACAGATTCCACGGCATGAAAATATTTTTAAGCTGTGTTTATTATATCATTAAGCAAACGGGAATAATGATTATTCAGACAAAAGTTGTTACCAAATGAAAGGTTTCATACTTGGAGCACAAAATTTAAAAAAAAAAAAAAATATATATATATATACTGTGAATTCAAAAGACTATTCCTGCATTTATATAGACCCTTTCAACTGTTTT